TTTGATTGGCACCGTCCCGGGCTTTACGCGAATGTGGTGCTGCGTAAGGCGCGTGGGGCCCCGTATGGCCTCGAACCGCGGTAGTTCGTCTGCCAGGAACTCGTGGAGGCGTCGGCGTTCTGCCCCACTTTGCGGCGCGAGCCCCTCCGCCCCCGCGGCCCGGCTAGTGCCGGGTTGCTGGATTATCGGTCCGGGGGGCGGGATCGCGAGGCCGATTTTTGCCCATAGGTCGATGCCAATCAGGGCGTTACTCGTCAGGGTCGGCATGACGCGGAATACGTGCCATACGGTGCGATCCACGATCCCCACGGGCATGTTTACGCTCCCCGGCAGGGAAATGATTTGGCCGTCGGCGAGTTGCACGTTGCCCTCCTCACGGCTAACACGGTATCCCAGCTGCGCCGCCGCGCGGGCGGTCGCCTCGTTGACGAACGAGATCTCGGAGCCGGTATCGAGCAGTGCTTCGACTGTCATCGTTCCAACTCTTAATTCGCAGTGCGGTCGCGGCCGGAATTTCAAGCGGAGGGCCGGGGCGCGGCCGTCGTGTCCCCGGCCTCCAACGCGTTTCCCGGTGGCGGATGGCATGCTCGGGTGAGGACCCCGTCTTTGCCGCACTGCGAGCAGAACTTCCTCGGAGGACGGCGACAGTCGAAACGCGTATGCCCTCGCTGTTTACAGCGCCAGCAACAGTCGTCGCGACTGTACACGGCGGCGGTAGTCGGTACGTCGCGGGCGCCGGCTCGAGTGCTGTTATCCGCCTTCTTGAGCGCCGTCAGTCGCTCATACTCGGCGGCCTCCCGGTTGAGATCTCGGATCGAGCGAAAATCGGACCTTTTTATGCGCCATTGGTACGAATGGTGCATGTTTCTGTATAGGTACTCGAGTTGCCTAGCTTCGGTGACTATTCCCGCGCGCATCATCAACGAAACTAACGCGGTGGAATACCTAAAGAACGTCTCGTCCGGCTTTTGCTTCCTAGCGTGCACGTCCTCCAATAACTGGAAGTCGTCGGCGTGCGGTAGGAAAGCAGCTTTAAAGCTCTCTACAAAATCGTCCCATGTCTCCCATCGGCGGCGGTTTGCCTGACCCGAGGCCTGTGCGTCTCCTTTCAGGAGCATAGGTAGGCCTTTGAAGAACTGAAGGTCGGTTAACTCGTAATCTTCCTTCAGTTCCTCGACGCGCTCCAAAAACGCCCACGGATCTTTCCCGTCGAATTGTATGCCCCATTTCCGCATTTCGTTTATAATTTTTGCAGGCCGGCTTTCCGGGCTGGACGGGGTGGGCGGCGGCGCGAAGGGGTTGATGGACATGTTGATTACGGATCCCTCGGATAAGCGTCGGTCACGCGGCGGCAGCGGTGGTACATGGGTCTGGAATCGGTCCGGGTTCTGGTCTACGAAGCTGCTTAGACGGCTTCGCAGTTCGTCCAGTGTGCCCTCGGTATCGAGCCCGTGCACCTCCATTTCGGAAATGATCGCGGACTTGCTCAGCGTATAAATCCACGCCCTCGGTACGCTCTGTGTCTCTCCTCTCCGGAGCGGTCCCTGTTCGGGCGTCATGAAACAACCTCACTTTGCGCGGACGTAGCTCGTCGGTCACGGGCTGTGGCCAAGGTCGCAAAGATGTTCGACAAGGAGGAGAGATGCAAGACGGTAATAATACGGTCGACGCGGATTTCGTGATAAAATGAGAATATATTATTCTATTGGAAGTACAGAGTATGTGGATGTGTGTGTGTATGCGTGTCGGTACAAATTGTCGCGGCTGGTATGTTTGCTGACGGCGGTGTGTGTGTGTGTAGCGCGTATGTGTGTGTGCGGCGGGCACGATTCGCAGCGCGAACGTGGTCGCGTGAATCGCGGGGTGCGCGGAACGCGGGCTTACACCGCTAGCACGTGCGTCGCTATGCCGAGCGACGCGTCGAAACGCGAGGAGCGATACGCCCGCTGAAGGCGCTTTCTGCTTGTCTTTGCTATACGGGACGACTTCGACTGTCGGGAGCGTCCGACGGAGGTGGGCAAAAGCAAATCCCCTGGTTCTCGTCGAAGCCGGTCACGTATAGCGCGGAAGAACGGTGCCCTCGTCTCGGCCGCCTCGTCGCAAGGCTCTCGGAGCGGTCGCTGCAAGTGGTCGGGAACGGCCGACAGAGGCAGGGCGAGCCCTACCGCCGCGGTGCAGCGAAACGGTTCGAGGAGCGAGCAATGAGCGGGGAGCCGGAGAGCGGAGTCGAGTGCAGTATCGGACCGGTAAATGCTTCTAGGAGCTGGAACTAGGAACAAAAAGCCCGAAATAATCGTTCGCCGGGCTTTTATACTGGTTTGTTGCTCCCGCTCGGATTGTTCCGGGATCATTCGGTGATTCTCGGCGTGGAACAATACGAGCGAGAGCTGCGGCGCTCGGCGTCGTTCGGCGACGCTCGGGTTTCGACGCTCGGGTTTCGTCAGTTGAAGTCTCGCGGCCTGTAATTATGCTTTAAAATATGTCGAGCGCACCGCGCTCTCATCGCATACGGTGACCGGGGGTCACCGTAGCGGCATCCGGCGAGTTGTTGTAGCCGGGAACGATGCACTTATGGGGGTGCATCGTTACAAGCTCAACACAAATTATAACACAAACATCTGTCAGTGGACTACTGGCGACTACTGGCAACCACCGGCAACCACGAGATGTGAGCAGCACGACAGACAAGAGGAGGTTAACGAAGTCTGAATAGTTATGGCGTTGCCATGTTTATGCATAAGCTTATGCGTTGCTGCGCGTTATCGCTATGTGTTATGCCTTACGCATTATGCGTTACGGAAAAGCCTGTGCTCCCCGCTTTTACGCGCGTATGTTTTAGCATTGCGTCCCACGTGAAACCTGGCAGTGTATAATAATGCGCGGGATCGAGACCGTAACTCGCGACACAACTATAATTGCGGAAATTTTCGAAAATGTCGGCTAATAACAATACATCGGTTTTCAAGTACAGATCGCTGTACTCGCCGAGCGTTCGAGTGGAGAATCGCTGCCATACGTTCACGGCGTGAGCGTAATCGCTCTCGGATACTGTATCACCCGTCAATGAACTGAAAAATAATTCTTGCGATGGTAAGCGCGTGTCCTGCAATTTTTCAACGCAGTCAATGTACTCGTATGGAAAGATACCTTTATGAATCAGCAATTCAAACTCTTCGTCTGACAAAGTTGAAAATTCGGAACGTACAATTTTTAATTTATCTTTGTCGAGATACGACACCAATTTATCCGAGACTTGATGCGAGAAATTTATAGGAATCAATAAACCTTAATTTTACGCAATTTAAAAAAAAATTTTTTTCATTTTTATCTTTGGTGCTATCGACATGTTTCATGAACAAAATATATTTTTCTTTTGTCATAGGAAGTATGTCCACATGTCCATCGTACGCGGTAGCTATTTCTTTAATTATAAAGTGCGTCGTACCCCGACAAGTTGTGAAATACGACTGGAATATTATACGAATTTTTATAATTAAGTTTACAATTTGTATGTGCTGGACCGCGGTATCTACCGGTTAAGTGGCAATGATCGCGGACCCGCGTATCGTCCGGCGCGAACAGTTTCCCGCAAATATGACAACGCGTCGCGGTGGGGTACGTCTCCCATTGATGCTTGAATAACATTTCCATGGGCACGTTGGCGGATATGATATCTTTTACGCGATGCGCCAAATCGTTGAGCTGTCGCGCGAACCACGTGATGCAATCGTTATCGCGACGGAACTGATATGACGATAACGAATTGTCGTACGAGCAGTGCACGTAGTATCCTATACTAAACGCTTCATGACGCTGATACTCGTACGATGTTGGCACGTCTACCTTGTCAGGCTCCATTTTCCGCAGGATGCACTCCAAGTCGGCGTATACTACGAACGGTGCTCGTTCCTGGTTGCGGTGGTTGCTGAATTCGCGCCATCTATTGTTCTCGCTCGGCAGGCGGATGGCGCAGTCGTTCAGTTTTTGGCAGTCCACTTCGTGCGTCTGCAATTTTTGGCTCGATCCAAAATAGTGAAGACACCTGTAAATAGAGAAATTATTTTTTACATATTGTTTTTTTATTTTTTTTTCTTTTTATGTTTACTTTTCTTACTATACTTACCGATCGTAAAAGTATTTCTTGTGCTCCTTTTTTGTGAGTTGCGAGCTCACAAGGCGCGACAGGTTCTTTATCCACGCAAAGTGACCTACACCGTCGTCGCGTGGATCTTGCAGGTACAGGAGATTGACGTGCTTCTCCTTCTTGTCGCCTGTGAGTCGTAGAGGAAGGATCTGCTTATTCTCGATGCTGTACACGTTGATTGACACAGCGTTTCAACGTTCGAATTTTGGAATGTTTTTTAAAGTCATCGGAAACTCAATGTTTGTGAGATTCAATACTGTTGTATAATGCGGGTACGAATATTCCCGATCTGCGTTTCTTTCTGCGGGGTACAGAGCGGCGACCACCGACCACGCGAAGCACGCATTGTCCGTCGTACGCACACTGATCACCGCTTTCTTCAGCATAATTTCTCGCTGCATCTCGAAGTGACATCCCGCGCGCATGGGATTTAGTTTGTTCACGTTAACAGTCAAATTGAGGATTCGCGATAGCGCCCACCCACTGTCGCGTTCCTGAAACTCTTCGAACGATGTTAAGATAGACTCGACGACGTGCCGTTCGTACCACTCGCGCAAATCGGTGCATCTATATATCTCGCTGTTCTTTGTAATTATACTCTTGTTAGCACGTTTATCCTTCGTCGCAAAGTCGTCGTTGAACGCTGTGTTCACTTTTACACTGCCGTGTCTTTCTACGTCTCGCACTCGCTCTAACACTATATTGGGTGCGTTCCGAGTCACGCATGAAGCGCGTAGACTGCATAGAAAGTCGTTCCGAGTTAGCTATTGCGCGCTTCGAAAGCGCTTCGAGAGTACTTGAATTCCCCAGATTGTACTAACCGTACTGAATTCTTAGCACTCCTCCCAGCGCATTGACTGCTTCTCTTTCGACTTGAGGCAGTGAAAACGTTTCATGCGTTGATGCAGTCTAAGCGTTTGTTAGATAATTCGAAACGCACTCAGATTGCACCAATTGCAAAGCAGTACACCGGTTCCTACAGATTGAAGTCTGGAAACGCTGATTCGAGTTGTGTTTGCTCGTGAGCTCTATCGTTCGCACGAAAGCATATTTTTATACAAGATCCTCGGCATCCACGCTCGACATTCACACGTACTTGACACACCGTGTTTCTAACAAGCTCAGACACAATAATGGATGAAGAACAATTATATGAATTTCCTGTATATATTGAGGATAAAAACGAAATAATTACCTTATTTTTAAGTAAAAAAGCTATGGAGAGAGTAACACAAGGTAAAACTGTAATGTGTTTACATAAATTATGATTTACTTTATAAATTATAAGATTAGACGCCAGGTTAATGATTGTGCTTTTCTTATAGACGAAGCTTTTTTAACCCAACTTATTGCGAAAGAAACAAAACAACAACAAATTAATGAGATACCAGTAGCACCAGAACATACAGACAAAGAAAATGCTGTCGACAAAAACAATGCAGGTAAATTCAAACAGTGTTTATGATAATTATACAATATATATATGTATATATTTTTGTGTAATTAATATCTGCAATTAACTTTTTAATTTTATTTAAAAGCATGTATATTCAAGATTAAGAATAATGTAAAAAATCATATTTTGATGATTTAATAGTTGTGTTTACTTTTTAAATTAATGCTTTTAGACAAGTCGAAGGTATTTGTATGGCCAGACAAAGCAGTACTTTTGTTATTGGAAATGTACCGAGAAAGAGAAGAAGATTTCTCTACTGGATTAAAACGTAGCAATAGAATCTAGACTGAAATTGCTGCTGCGATGAAAGAGGCGAATTCTTTATACGAAGTGACTGGTCAGCAATGTGCGTCCAAAATGTCTGGCTTAAAGCGGACATATAAAAATATTGCTGACTTAAATAAAAAAAGCGGAAATCATACAAGTTCGTGGGCTTTTTTTTCGGTAAGAATGTTTTATCATGTATTGTAAAATACCTGGTTTTTGCATTTAGTATATTTTATTATACACATTTTGTTACTATTATTATTATTGTATACTATAGGTTATGGATTCAATATTTGGTGATAAAGCTTCAATTAATCCTCCTGCAATTGCAACGGATTAATTAAGTGACAATGGAGTGATGGTCCAGTGAACCCTTTTAAGGAGTTATCACCAACATCATTTACGATCTCGTGCTCTGACATAAGAAGTAAGTACTTGAAAACAACTGCTGCAAAAATAAAATCTTAATTTGTTTCTGATTTCTTACGTCTTCGATATAAAGTTATGTCGTTGTTCTCAAAAATTTTCTCCAGTGAACTAGGTAATAATTTTATTATAATTTTATATATTAGAACTCGTGTATTAAAACACTTTATGAACGCCGGTATTTCTTTGTTGAAAATTATCTCCACTGAGTCGAGTAACATATTCTTTAAATGTTATTTGCATATTTTTCTTAGTCAAACATCAATAGTTCTAGAAAATTTATTTCGTTTAATAAATGGATTACTATGTTTAGCGTAAAAGATTAATATTTTGTAATATATAGTGAGGTTAAAAAGGAATTAGTTGCATTAATAAAGATCTAAAGGTTATATATTTATTATGTACATGTATTGATTTAGTAATGATCATTTTTATGTTATCCAATGCAGGTCCACAGAGGAAGAAAAAACGGGTGGAACACGTTTTGGAAGAATTAGTAAAAAATATAGCCGCAGAAAAAGAAGAAAAAAGAGAAGAAAGGAAAAGAAGAGAGACAAAGCACGAAGAAATTCGAGAAGAAAATAGACGAGATCGCGAGAGAAGACATAAGGAGCAAATGGATGTCCAAAAATCTTTAGTATCCATTTTACAACAATTTTTAAAATAAAATAGTTTCTTGTAATTTTATAAGAAATAAGTAAGAAAGCGTTTACGTGCATGCTTATTTACTTTTCCAGGTTTCCGAGCCATCACTTAGATAAAAACAAAAACCTTTTATGGTGGTTTTTGTCAAGTTTTTTATTTTTTTAATAAGAAAGTTTATTGACCTTTAGTTAAAAGTTTGATTAAGTTTTGTATTAAAATTATTAATGATTTGTTTATTTAAAAACTTTTAAAAACTGTTTTATTTAATATAAGTTTAATATGGAACTTGTACATCATTTGAAAAATATTTTTCATAAAATATGCTTATTATTTAATAAAAATAAGTTGTTTATGTTTATGTTAAAAAAATATTGAAAAATGTAAAATATTTTTTTAATGTTTGAGAAATGTTTCTTTGTGGAGGAGGCTTACAAAATACATAATTTGAATGTTTTGAATAAGATTTTATAATGCAAATAAAACCAAAGATTAAGCAGAAACGAATGTCTATTAACCTAAATGTTTATTCATTAAAAAATACAATACAAAATTTTTTATACAAATTCGTTGATAGGTTCTACAAATTTATTTCAAATACGTAACAAAATGATTTGTCAAAGTCATTTCTATTAAAGTTATAACATTAAAAAATTCTTCATTAAAAAATCATGCATTTATTTTTATTGGCAAAGCATTCATTATTACTATTCTTTTGGCATTTCCTAAATCAGTGTTATTATCACGAATTTGGGCCTGATATTCTTCATGATGTTGGACACCGACAGTCATAACATCATTTTGTAATAAACAAATATTGTGTAAGACACTACACGCTATAATGAACTCTGGTATCTTTTTAACGTCTGTCAGTGGTAAACAGTCTAATAATATTCTAAAACTTATCTTCAATTGGCCAATCGCCCGTTCAACTGCCATTCTTGTTGAAGATAGACAATAATTAAAATTTTTTTGTTGATTTGTCAAATGTCCATTGTCTCGAAATGGAACCATTACGTGGGGATGAATCGGATATGCTGCATCTCCAATAATATGAGAGTTGTTAGGGAAGTACACCTCAGGTCTCTCAAGAAAATGTGCTACTGGAGAGTTTTTGAAAACCCGAGCATCATGTACTGATCCCACTTGACCTGCATAGCAGTGTGTGAAGAGACCCCTCGAATTACAAACTACTTGAAGATTGATAGATGGGAAACCTTTCCGGTTTATGTATGAAACTGAATCTGTTGGTGGTGCTCGGATCTTGATATGAGTCCCATCTATAGCACCGATTACATTTGGAAAGCCACTAGCTTCTAAAAATTGATCGCTGATGTTAGTAGCAACAGCTTTATCAGGCCACTGAATGAATCGAGGCGCCATGCAATGCAATGCATAGGTTACACGTCTTACGGCTCTAAAAGCCGTTATTTTACCTACTCCAAATTTGACGCAAACGGATCTACAATAAGCCATTATATAAAAAATGAAAAAACTGTAACAATGTAACGACAGTGATAGTTACATGCATACAAAACAAAAATAGTTTTACAAATTTTACATACCTATACGAATCAGGAGTAGCCATAAACCACAGAGTAATATATAGTTGTTTTTCTGCTGAAATTGGTTTTCTTCTAGTTATGGTATTTGTCTTATTTAGCGCTGGTCCGATTAATGATAAAATCATTTCAAACGTTGCCGGAAACATTCTAAAATGTTAGATTATGATGTAAGTGAAATTAATTTCTCAAAACCAAATCAAAAATATTTTATCTTTATAATTTAATGATATATATATATATATATTGAAATGCTTACCTGAAATACTCTTTAAATGCAATATCGGAGTAATTAGGAATTACACGATCAACATAATCGGTAATTTTTTCGGTTGCAATCATTTTCCCACGTGCTTTACTCCCCATTAGTGTACAATATAATGTTTGCATATCCCTTAATGTTTCGTCTTCATTTTCATGTTCACTCTCACTCGATTGTGAGCTGTCACTTTCGAAGTTTTTGTCTAATATCAATGAAGTAACCATTGATACTGTAAATCGTTTCTTGATGTTTCGTTCGGCATCCATTTTTAACATTACCACTCACCCCACTCCAGTCCACTCAGTGCACAGCTCGCACAGGAAACCGGTCCGAATTCATAAGCGCTTCGTGCGTGTTATGCGCGCATTGAAAAAACGGAACGATTTTAAAGCGTTGTGCATCAGTATTGCAGTCCACTCGCTTCATGCGTGACTCGGAACGCACCCATTGTCAGCGTCTTCGAGGAATCGGCGAGGCTCGATGTGATTATAGTTTATCACCGCGCCTGTCATTATACGACTCTCGAACGCAGCGTCGATCTCACGCCATACGAGAGATTGCTCGTTGCCACTCGCGTACCCACTACTCGCGTACTCGCCACCAACGTGTACGAAACGTCGCTCCAATTGTGACTTTGCACCCGCGAGTCGCGCGATCCTCGCCACCGCGGATTGTCTATGTCCAACGGCGAGGCGCGGACGCTTGGCACGACAAAGTTCTTCGAGCCGCTCGATGCACTCGTCGCATCGTTGCAGCCACGCGAAACACTCAACCAGAGTGGCGATCTGGTCGCACTGCTCCAGCAGTTCGCGTTCCACTCGCTCGTGATTTTCCATGTCTTTTTCACAGTCTTTAGATCACGTTGCACTCTTCCACGGAGCACTCAATAGTTTTTTCAATGTGTGCAGAGTGGGCATATGCCGCGTGGAAATACAGTGTACATTGGCTCTTCGCATATCGAACACTCGGTGCCCTGTGTACAGTAAGACCAGTCTTGGTGTGTCCTGACGAGATACATTCCTTCATCGCCAATATTCCGCAAAGAAATCTTGCCATAATTCGGCGGATAAGCCATGCAACGTGTACATATGACTAAAGCACCACCACCCGTTATATAATAACAGCAGATTATACAGTGGTTAGTATGAATGTCTAACGCTTCCATTTCCGAAGGCTGCACAAATTTCTCTGCGTGATCCGTATTGCCATCGTCCAAACGAATAAGACATTCAGTATCGTTGGACGACTTTTGGTCCATTTTGTCCTCAAATTCTACTTCCAGTGCTTCGAATAACTTGTCTGTATTCACACCATCCATGTCCTCAACGTTTGCACGATGATCAACCATACTTTTCACATTCATTTTTTGTTCACAATATTGTTCACATTACTGTTCACAAAGGTTTTTAATGTGCGCAGAGTGGGCACATGCTGCATGGATTGCATGGGTATACAATGTACATCTTTTCTCCGCATTTCGAGCATGACCATCTGAAATCTAGTGCATAGAAAGAACATTCTTTGTGATTCCTGACGAGATACATTCCTTTACCGCTATAATCTCGCAAATCAGTCATGCATATTGTACAAAAGATAGGAGCACCATTGCACTCTGTATAATAACAGCATATTATGCAATGCTTAGTATGGCTGTTCAATGCATGGATTTCCGAAGGCTGCACAAATTTCTCTGCGTGATCCGTATTGCCGCCACTCAAACCAATAAGACATTCAGTATTATTGGACGACTTTTGATCCACTATGTCCTCAAATTCTACTTCCAATGCTTCGAATAACTTGTCTGTATTTACACCATCCATGTCTTCAACGTCAATGTCTTCAACATTCGCACGATGATCAGCCATATTTTCAACATTACGTTACCATGATCGATTTGGTAATCTTACAGGGCACCAACTGAGGTGTTGCGCGCTGATGGCCCGTTATATATTCCATTTGCAACTTCTTTGTCCCTTTGTCTACCCCCTATTGATTCGCAGCATCGACGACGTGTCACCTATATTTCTTAGAAAAAAAATCGCTATCGACCCTTCTCTTAACGCGTCGTGTCATATTCGCAACATGTTACCGATCTCCTAAACAAAATATCTTATTCACATTATAGTACCGCGACGCATTTCGAGG